AGGAGAGAAAGAAGTTGATCTCACTGAAAACTTAAAAGGAAATGAGACCGAACAAGAGTCTTGTTCCTAGAATTATTTTTAAGTCAGTAAATAGTTGATTGGGCCAGGTGTGCTTTACACGCCTTTAATGGCAGCACCTGGGAGACAGAGACAAAGGCAGGTAGATCTCTGTGAGCTGGAGGCCAGATTGGACTACATAGTGAGCCCAAGGCCAGCCAGGGATACACGGTGAGACCCTGTCTCAGTAAAATAAAATAGACTATTTCCTAATGTTCACTTACATATTTTCTTATAGAAACAATGTTACCTCTCCAGAAAAATAAATCCAAAGAATACATGGAAATTTAAAAATCGATGGCAACAGGTGACTGTTTGCTTTATGTTTTCTGGATGCAATAATGAAAATTATCACTTTTATAATCACTAATACTCACATACTACCACGCTGGCAGGATTCAGGTGATCGGTAACTCACCCATCTGCAAGACCCCCAGTAGCAAAAGTTAGAAAGAAAAAAAAGAATGGTAAAGCAGCCAAACACACAGCCCAGACAGAGCCACTCCTGAAAGCCTAAGGGCTGTTTACCAAGACAGCTGCTTTGGGCTGTTGAGACGGCCCAGAGAGTAAGGGTGCTTGCTACCAAGGTGGTTCAGGAACCCCGCCACATGGTGAATGGAAAGAAAACTCTCACCCCAGCCAGACACTATCCCTGTCTCTCTCTGTCTGCCTCTGTCTGTGTCTCTCTGTCTCTGTGTCTGTCTGTCTGTGCCTCTGTCTGTCTACTCTGTGACTGTCTGTCTGTCTGCCTCTGTCTGTGTCTCTCTGTCAGTCAATTCGTGTTTTAAAATTGATTTAGAATTGGTCAAAGACGCTTATGAGTCAGACTGTTTTGAAAGAACCTCCGCTCTCTAGAGGAACCCAGCGCTTGGAGGTCCTTCCAGTCCAGTCGGAGCTTTGCTATGCCGAAAGAGGTTTTACTCTTTCATCCGCATCCACCACTCCAGAACGGGAGAACCGTCTGGACGGAAATGGCTAATGACTGCTGGAGTTTAGCCTCGAAGCCACTGGGGTGCGAGGCTGGAGCTAGGGAGCTCACTGCAGCAGGCGGTGACGTCTAGGCTTCCTTCTGTGTTCCAGGCCCATATGGCGGGTCTATCAGCTCCCAGGGTGAAGCTAGCTATCTGTCGCACCTCCTTCACACTTTCCTCTTTGGTTCTTACTTAAAAAGAATCATCGACAGAGAAGTGTGTGTGTTTGGGGGTGGGGGGGGGGTACCTAGAAAGACCAGGAAGAAGAGACTTGTTTGCATCTGTGCAACAAAGATTAGCAAACTGACATCACCCCCATTGTTTTTGTTTTCGGCACCGTTATCACAAAACAAAAGCAAGAAGATAACTTCTACCTCTGAAGCCCGAGTGCTTGAAAACAGACCTGAATATTTCCTGTTCTCTCAATAAGGCAGAAGATGCCCTCCGCTCCTTATCTAGTCCGAGCTTTATTCACTGATAGGGGACCAGTTTCTGGCCCGATAGCTCGAGAGAGCCTATTGGAAGAGGATGTTTCCTGGGTTACTAGAAGATTCTCGTACTTTGTAGTTTGCCAAGAACCCAACAAAGAAGGTGTTGTTCGTTTGTTTATTTTGTTTTGTTTTAATTTCCACTTCCCATTCACCCTAAGCAAAAAAAAAAAAAGAAGAAACAATCACCCCTGAAGTTAATGATCCTCTAACTTCTGAGCTTCTGTTTATCTTCGTCATTTTTTTTTTAGAACCTGCCTATTCTTTCTTGATTAAAGAAGTAATTCATGACCTTTCTCACAAATCAACCGACTGAAGACGTGTGTAATAAAAATCTGCAGTTCTCACTGTCCTTAAAAGGAAACCATGGAGAGCACAGGACACCGAGTTTGCACTTTTCTGAAGCTTACACAAACCTGCATGACCTGTGGAACTTTTTTTTTTTTTTTTTCTTTCAAATAAAAAATGGGCCATTGTATGTTCTATTATGTATTTTGCCTTTTTAGTCTTAAAAACATGCCCTGGACACTTTGGCAGCCAAGACAGACAGATGACAGACAGACAGACACATAGACAGATCTCCTGCATTCTTTGCAATGGACACAAGCTAAGATGGCTGCCCCATGACTCTTCATTCAGCCATCACCTGCTTTCCCCACCTCACTGACATCTGGGATAAACCGTTGAACATATCTTTTTTCAGGTCTTTAATTTCTCTAACAGGTTCCCAGAAGTGGGATTTCCATGTCAAATGAGACATCTTCAGATGTTTAAAGTTTTATACTTGAAATTAATTTCAGGGCCTCATTATGCAAAATTTTGGCATAAACCTTTCACAGTGTTTTGCATATTTTACTTTTCTTGAGCGCGCACATTATATCAAAAAACGTCCCTGTCATTTCATGTTCCTGTTGTTATAAATAAGTAAATGTTTAAGTTATGGCTGTGACGGCCGGCATTAAATCACTGTGCAAATGCTTATGACTTGGTTTATGAAAGCGGTAATTCATGGTGGAGACTCCGCCCCCATGCTGTGTGGCAGTGGCAGCTTCAGATCTCATATCCTGTGGCTCCCTCCCACTGAGCGACTGTGTAGAGATCAAGGACCTACATATTTTCTAATTGTTAACAGTTAACCTTAAAAAGCGTGCGGGGGGGGGGGGGGGGGGGGGGGGGGGGGGCGTGTATCCAGCCACAGACAACAAATTGATGGCCATTTTGGATTTCTAATATCCACAAATTGTTTGTAGCTCAATGAATCATTTTGCTGGTCCACACCAGAGACTGCATTCCATTAAAAATAGAAATAAAAATAAAAACCTATCACCAGTACACTGCTATTATCACACAAATCTTCCCAAAGCATACTCTTTAACCACTTCTCCGTAGAATCTTTGGTTCTATCCCGTTTTTACATTTTCCCCCACTTCAGATTCAAGATCGCAACTCCAAGCTTAAAAAATGAAAAAGGTAAGATGGCTTTAAGGAAATAGTCAACCAGTGAAGCTCCTCAAAATGTAACCTCAGACTCCTCCATGTATTCGAAAGACTCCGGCACTATCAGAGATTGTTAAGACACAGCAAGTTTGATACAGAAGTATGTGACATGCAATTAATCTCCATTCATACCCTGCTCTGCCTGTCAGCAAGCAAAGGTTCTGCGTTAGAAGGAGATCTGAAGACTTCAATTAAAAACAGTCAGCTAACAAGAAAATAATCTGAGCTAAAGGAAGGTGGCAGGTGCAAAAATGAGTTGTTTGCCGAAGTGTCAGTTTTGAACAATAAAGCCCTGCACATCAAAAAAAAAAAAAAAAAAAAAAAAAAAAAGTCGGAGGAGCGGATGGCGCTGCGTCGGCAGCCTCTGAAAATAGGAGGGAATTTTCTATCAAGGCCGTGGCACAAAACTGAAGGATCCTCTAGCAAGCTTGTGATATGGGTTTCTTCTCAGAAGATGACTGACACCAATGACAGGAAACCCTGTCTTTAAATGCCAGGGTAGAAATACACTTGCGACTGCAGCCCCTTCTCCAAAAACCAAAGGCCAGTTAGAGCCTTCCTTTATGTATCCAGTACTGTGCCGGTTGAATCCTTCTGTCCTCCAGATAACTCTTTTTTTGTTACTACGGTTTAGATTTCGCTTGGTTCACGGAGTAAGCGGATCTTGGGTGGCTTAGAGAGTGTAGTTTAGCGGTGGACTATCTACCTAGCATGAGTAAGGTCCTAGATTCAACCCCCTAATTACGGGGGTGGGGGGATGATTCGGTAGTTAAAGGTGTTCGACGCCAAGCCTGAAGACGTAAGTTCGATCCCCATCACCCAGAGGATGGAAGGAAGGAGGCAGCCCACCAGCTGCCATCTGAACTCCACAAATGTGCCCTGGCACATAAAACCCCCAACGCATACTCTCCAAAACTAAACAAATAAGATGCTTTTATAAAATGGACGTTGGAACCATCGCCTCAACAGAAACACCTCGCTGACAGCTCTTAAGGGGAAGCAATCCTGAAGAGAAACAGTGCCACAAACAGAAACCAAAAGCACTCGCCAAAATCCTCGATTAGGAGGCATTTATACCAAGATAACAAGGTAATGGAGATATGAAACCAATTAAATGGGAGAGAAGCTGAGAAGAATGCAGCTTGCCAAAATCATGACCTGCCCAAAGCAGGCCATCTGTTAACCATGCGTCAGAGATGCCGCCTGGATGCCAAAAGCCTTAATTCTGAGCGGTTTCCTCTTGAGACCCGTGTGCAACTGCAGATTCCCTGTCCTCCCAGGAAGGCCAAGTCACAGGAGAGCAAGGAACACTGATTCTCATCCTGTGAGCCAAGAGCATGATACTCCCCATCAGGGAAGTCCCTTTGTGGGAAAGCGTGACCTTAACTCTCAACGGCCGGTTAGACTCGTACTCTGGGCCTTCCCTGGGGTTGGTGACACCCCTAGAAGATTACAGGCTGATAAAGGAAGCCTTACATTTCCACACTTACAAGAAGCCTCCTAATCGCCAGGCTTGGCCCAAAGATCCGAAAATGTCCACGAATTCGGATGATGTTCACATGGGAACATCTACCCATTTTCTTTCGAGGTGAGAGGACTCCCGCTCGAATGAGAGCTAATCGCTACACCCCCTTAGGCATTTCCTGGGAGACAGGTTCAAGACCAAGCAAGGTCCCAGGGGAGGCCATGAACCTAGCCTGCAAGACCTTAGAAACCTAGAAGTGACGCCCGGCGATGTAGATGCCTGGAAGAGAGAGTGTGTAACTAACTCAAGAGAATGGTGAGGACCCTGAGGTGGGAGAATGGGAGAGAGGATGGCTTTGGGGATTGAGGACTCTGGAAGCCTGGAGCTTATACTAGGTGGAGCTTATATTAGGCTGAAAGGCTGGTGCCCTGGTGTCTCCTGGCTGGCCTGCAGTCCAGCGCTGAAGGGACCTCCCGGAGGGGAGGGGTCAGGGCAGAGGTCTGGCACTAGGCCAGGAGTTACCTTCCAGGAGCCAGCCGATCTCCTCGGGGAGGGCGACAGCCTGCATTTGGCACGGCGGGAGGGCGGCCGCGGCAGAAGGCGGGGACAAGGGACGCGAGGCCTGCTCCGAAGGCGGCGGGTAGAGGGAGGCGAGCTGCACCCCCGGGGCACCTGTCCCTCGGTTGTCGCCAAGGGGCCCAGGCGCAGGGCGGGGCCGCCGGCCGCGCGCCCAGGAAGCGGCGCGCGCAGCGGGCTGCGGGGAGCCGGGACCCTGGGCGCAGGTGCACGCCGGAGCCCTTAAGTGAGGTGACACGCCGCAAGGTCAAAGGCGTGGTGGCCCTTGGAGCCCCACACCGAAAGACTGCCTAGACGCCAAAGAGCCAGCGGTCTCGGCGGAAACATCTAAGCCCCGAGCAATCTGACCTCGGGGAGGCAGCTTTAAAAGGCCACCGTAGTTCCCCGAACTGGGCTGCAGAGGCGGAATCCGAGAAAGAGCTTGGTCCCTGCCGAGGATGGAGTGCCTCAGTGGCTGATCCAGCTCACTGTCGGGGGGGGGGGGGGGGGGGGGGAACCTGGTCAAAGATTAAGATCAGACTTCCCGGTGATAATACAGTCTTCTCAACATTTGGGAGACTCGGCAGCAGAGGCATTACACACCAAGAGACAGAGTGCCCCTCCCTCCCCGAGATAAAAACTGTGAGAAGGTGGGAAACAGCTCTTTCTCTCTCAGAGCTGAGGAACTGAGAAAGTGATCCAGGAGATCATAGGCCCGTGCCCTCTCCCTCTCAAAGTACAGTCGGTCAGTGCCCAAGTGTAGGTTGGACGTAGGCACCAAAGATGTTCCTACAGCGTGAGCTTGGACAAAGGTATGTTAGACCCTGTTACTTTTTAAATACAAGGGGCCGTGAAGAAAGTAGAGCGACACGGATGACGCAAGAAAGAACATAAATGGAAGAGAAAGACGGGAGTGCCTGTGGGTGGGTGTGAGCTTGAAGGGGCACCTGTCTGCTGCCATGACCAGACTTCAAAAGGGTGGGAAGACTTTACAGGTGGAAAATTATCTAAAATACGTGGCATCTACACCTCTCTTCACCTAAACCATCTCCAGAATGTGTGTGTGTGTGTATGAGAGAGAGAGAGAGAGGGAGCGCTCAATATATAGGAAGGATTGGGAGTGGTGACTGAACACTTAATAAGAGGGAGGTAAGATGCTGTGTAGATCGGCCTGGGATGGGGATGATATTCAAAAGGGCGCAAGGCCGAAAAATGCATGTCTACTAGAACAGGCGTGGGCACACACCCCATGAAGGCCCAGTCTCAAGGTTAGAGACCTCCCTTTTGAGGGGTTTTGGTGGTTTTCATCACATCCTGACACCTAAGAAGGAATGGTACCTTGGTGTCAGGGCCTCGTGACCCACCTATAAGTTGCAACAAGTTGCATTGAAGGCATAGGGTCTGGTCAAGGCTGCCATGGAAACTGTCTCCTTGGTGCTGCTTCCTCTGGCCCCAGCTCGAGTACTGGCTGCCGCTGGGGACGTTTCCCCCCACCTTGCTGTCCCCCTGATCAGAATGAGGCTACTCTAGAGTCATTTGAGGTGCACACACGATTCAACATTGAGGCTAGGTGGGTCACAGTCCTGCTTTGGGAAACACAGAACTGTTCTTCAAACAGGGAGGGTGTAGGATTCCCTCTATAGCGTACAAACTTCCTCAGTTTCTCTTTCAGGGATGAAAATAAATAATAAATAAATAAAGGACCACCCCCCCCCTCCTAGGATCCGAAGGGAAGCCAGAGTGTCCGTCCCCCTTATTTAGGGACACCGGGCAGGATGGTCACATAGGGTAGACAGGCACTAGCTGTTTGACCCCAGGCCTCGCCGCCTGGTCGGAGCTCACTCCCAGCCAAGGAGAAGCAGAAATCCACAGGGGGGATGTTCTCCGTGCGTTTGTCCCCCGATGGATGTCTGGGTTTTGGAGAGACGGAGGTAGAGGGAGGTGTGAGTCAGGTAATGTGTGGCGGTGACTGGCAGTTTCCAATACGCTCTTGTCATGTTGCATCAAAGCTCCTGGCTGCAGACAGGAGCCTGCCTCCACACATGAGTGCCGCCCCTCCTTAATCATCTGAGGGCCCTGGTTCGGCAGTCAGCCTCACTCCTAATGACATTCTGTTAAATGGACAAATTCCTTTGAAGCCTTGTCCTTCTTTGAAATCCAATTTCGAAGGAAGCCAAATCTGATTGGGGGTAGCCATGGAAACGACGTGGAGGAGTCTTACAGGAGGTGGAGAGAGGCAAAGCAAAAAAAAAAAAAGAAAGAAAAAAAAGCTAGTCAAGAGTCCTTTACTGCTATGTCGGAAATATCAAAGAGATCTGGAGAGCTTGGCAGGCGAGTCCCTTCCCAGGTCCTGTTCTGTGTGGCTGGGTACCATGTGGCTGTCATGGAAGAAAGCGGCCAGCTGTCTCCACGCACAGGCAGCGGTCCAGATCTGTCTGCCTTCCTCCTTCTTCCCCTCCCCCGCCCCAATTCCAACATCATCCCCCTTCTAGCCATCACCCCTTAAAGGCAAACAACAAAAGAATGACAAGGTTAAAATACAAGGCCCTCACAGATAAGAGGTCCCGGGGAGCAGAGGCCACGAAATTAATCTAAAATTCCTTGTAATTAGATAAGATAAGGGTATCTAGAGAGAGGCAGAGCAGTCAGAAATGGAGTCCGGCTGCACGGCATGCAGAATGCGCATGCCTTGTCCACTGGGATTCCTCACACGCCATCAGCGGACAGGAGATGCAGAGAACGGAACCCTTGCTGGCCTCTGGGCTACTTGGAGATGCCATCTGCGTGTTCTCTTGCTAGGTGGGCACTAAGTGGGAATCACAGGCTACCCAAAGGGCTCAGCCAGAAAGAAGCAAAAGCACCTGGCACCTAAAATGCCGCGGGGTCAGGGAACAACTGCAAGCAAAGCAGGAGCTGGCTGGTACTGCCCCACCCTGGGCTCAGCGGGTCTGGGGAGGACACTGTAGCAGCCAGGCTCTGAGGCCTTATCCTCAGCCCATTATTGATCTCCGAACACTGGGTCAGGACATGTGGCAGGGCTGACGGCTGCCCTGTGGATGTGCCTCGGCCGCGTCTCAACCTTTCCAAGCCGGCCCCATCAACCGGGTTTATTGACTCCTTTATTGACAATGCTAGGGCCTAATGAGGACAAGAGCTGCACACTTCATTAAGGGATGTGGAAGGAAAGATGACGCGTGGAGGTCGCTGCCAAAAACTGGGCTCACAACATGCTTCTCAAGGCCCCGGACACCAACACGCATTGTGCCAGCTTGAAGGCGGGGCCCATCACTTCCATCATGTCCCTGGCTTAGAGCACAGGGTTTCCATCACCTTCCAGGAGCCTTGCTACTACTAATTAGCTAAGCTTTGGCTTGGGAGAGCACCGAAAAGCATACACGTTCAAGGATCCCCCTTTCCAGCTCACATTCCTAAACTCTCTGCTAAGTGAAACAGCAAGGAATGCAGGTAGGTTAAAACACCTCAGAAAATATTACAATAGCAGGTTCTCATTGGGGTCCAGGCTGGGAATACGTGAGGGGCAATTAAAATTCAAGTGAGCTGAACAAACGAGGTGCACACAGTAATCCCAATGCTCAGAAGGCTAAGGCAAGAGGATTGCCAAAAGCTCAAGGCCAGACAATTGGGCATGTACCGTTAGGTACTATCTCAAAAGAAAGGAAGAAAGAGGGGATTGTGGGAGCCAAGCAAGGGCTTGCAGCATACGTGTAAGGACTTGAGTTTGATCCCCAGCACCCACACAAGAAGCTAGGCGGGCACAGTGGCACCCACTTGCAATCCCAGAGCTGGGGCAGTGGAAACAAGCAGATCCTGAGACCTGACGGACATCAAGCCTATCCTATCACTGACCTCCAGGTCTGAGAGATCCATCCTGTGGACTACCACTAAAGAGGACCCAAGGTTGACCTCTAGCCTCCACATATATGTATATATACGTACGTACACACACACACACACACACACACACACACACACGAACACAGACATATACATACACACATACAAACACACACACATAAGCAAACAGTTAAAAGAATCTTTCTGGGGATCAATGTCTGATCAATGTGAGAGTCAGACTCAGTGCTCCAACTAGCGACCCTCATCCAGAAGCTGTACTGGTCTTCGGATCCTGGAACTGAACTAAAGTTCTGATGGATCAGAGCAACGCCTAAGATAAATAATTACAACCTAGGGCTAGTTCTGGGACGCAGTTACTGTTGTAAAGGCCACTTTACATAGTGGCCTTCTATTCGTTGTCTTATCTCTTTATTACTGAAGTTCCCTCACAGGACCCCCCGCTCTTGGACTCCACCTATCCCAGAGACCGCATCAGACATCCCCACCGGGCACTGTTGCTGACTCTGACGCTTTCTGTTGTTGATTGGTTTTCTTGGGAATCTGAAACGGGCTTTAGAAGGACTCGGGACATGACAGGCTCAGCCAGATGAGGCTGTGCTCCTGAGCAGATGTGCAGGCAGGCGGTCTATGGGCTTGATCCTCACGACAGGCAGATGGGGCCAAGGCCAGTTTTATGGGCCAGGTATTTGCAAGGCATAATGACTTTGAAAACTAACATGAAGAAGTAATAGTTTCTTTGCGAGTTGGATGAGTAAGGCACTTGAAAGGAACAACAGTCAGACAGTGGTATTTCTGAAGTCCACGTTCTTGGGTTTCCTTTCATCTGTTACTTTAAAGGAATGTTAGCCGGGTGGCAGTGGCACGCGCCTTTAATACCAGCACTTGGGAGGCAGAGGCAGGTGGATCTCTGAGTTCAAGGCCAGCCTGGTCTACAGAGTGAGTTCTAGGACAGCCAAGGAGAACCCTGTCCAAAAAAACAAACCAAAACAAACAAACAAACAACCATAAATATATAATTTCCTAAATTCCTTCCATTCCTTCTACCCTTTCTTCTTCTTCTTCTTCTTCTTCTTCTTCTTCTTCTTCTTCTTCTTCTTCTTCTTCTTCTTCTTCTTCTTCTTCTTCTTCAGTTTACTACATTCAGGATCTGGGCAGTGAAATTCGAAGTGTGAGAAGGTAACTGTTTAGAATCTGGTAAGAAACTCTGGCCAGTGTTGTGCAGTGCTCTGGAGGAACTGGGGTTATCTGCCCAGGGTCACCATAC